TGCTTAATGATGCAGTCGCCTCTATCCAACGGGTAGAGGTAACGGGCGAACCACTGTATCGTAGCCCCAGGACTTGAGTATTTCTAACTTTAGAAAAACCTTTAGAGACCCCTTGATGTGGTGTGGTGAAACCATTCCTTAGATCCCGTAGTAACTTCAATTTAATTTGGATTACTTTTTGTTTTTAGATCCCCAAATTCTTTTACACTATGCTAAGTCCTAAGGTTAGTAATAAAAAGATTTTCACCTAATAATATAGTGACATTAAGGACAAAATTAAGACCGAGTCTTAGAAAATTAGACTTAGAAGCATGTACATTTTAGGATAGAGGACATTAAACATAGAAAACTTGTGACATTCATATTATTATTATTATATTATTTTTTATATTAATATTTATTTTATTTTACTTATTTATTTAACAATTAATTTAATTAACTAAAAATTTTCTTTTAAATATAATTGATTTAGGACATATCAAAACCACATAACCTATTGCACACACTTAGATTTGTTTGCTAGACAACCGACTCTAGTTAAGGGTTAGGCCGTGTTTATTTTCCTTACTGCCGTGTGATGGCTTTTTCTCTATTTTATTGCATGCTGGTTTGTAAAATATTGGTGTATTATTATTTTTTTTTAGTGCACTTTGTGATGCATTTATTTGACGATTGATTACCCTAGGTTAGGAGCGATCTGGTGTTTCATGAATTTTTTGCAGGTGGCCACACTCATGCAGGGCAGTAAAAGGGGGCTAATTAATTAATAATTATAATATATAGTGCTACAGGTGCTCAGCTGCTTAGCCCCCAAATGAAAAGAGTGTGGCCAAGTGTAGCTAGTGGATTCAATAATGTATATAATATATGCTGCTGGAGTGATTTTTCTTAGGGATAACCCTGCAGGTGGTTTAGATTTTCTTTTTTTCTTGTGAAATGTAAATGTAATGTAAATGTGTTTAAAATATGTGAAAGTGATTTTGAAAGCGGATATCACATCCAATTTGGAATCTAAAAGAAAGGAAGAAAAATATACCTTAAAAGAATTATTCTCTTTATTTGAAAGCCAAATTAGGATGATTTTAGTATCCAAATAGAAAGAAAAATACCCCTTTTAGGGATGAGTTTTTTTTTATTTGGATATCCAGACCGATGATCAAGAAGTTCGATAGAAGAAAAAGATAAGAACAGAAGATTGAAGAAAAGGAAGATGAAGAAATTGAAGATTCAAGGAGAATATATCCCATTTTAAAAATCACTTGCGTCATTCTTAGGATTAGAATCCGGGCTTGTTGTTATGGTGCCCGGCCACTTACTTTTTCGTAAATTCGTGGTGTATATGGACATTGGACATTGATATTATATTTTGGATTATTAATTTGATTTTTATATTGTTTGTGCAGTAGAATTTTTTTAGGATTAAGGCTTGGTTTGGGACGGCTTTTTTATTGCTTCTTAAAGCAGTTTTCTAGTACAAAAATTAAAATTTTTGTAATAAAAAGCTGCTTTAAGAAGCAATGAGAAAGCCGTCCCAAACGAAGCCTAAGTCATCAAAGGTGAGTCCTTTGGGCAAGCCTTCATGAGTGAGTCTGTGATGGTGAGCCCGTCAAAGTGACGTGGCCAATCACCTCTGCAAGCATTACTGTGATTATATATATACATTCCCTCTTGATGCATGCTTCTTGATGGTCATCTAAGAGAAGAGAATTACATGCCCTGTTGATGCATGCTTCTTGATGGCCATCTAAGATAAGAGAATTTTATTGGGGCGAGTGCCCCTTGGGTTGAAAACTTGTCAAGGCGAGTCCTATGAACGTGCTCACAAGCAATGAACACATTATTGATTTGATCCTCTAATGATGAAATTGAATGTTGCAAGCACTGTTGCAATATATTCCTGTGTTTGGATGTTTATTTTAGTTATTTTTTATTTCAAAAGATTGATCATCATGATATGAATCTTACAATATATTCTCTACGTCCTTTTGAACTTATCTACTATTTTATTTTCTTTTTCTTAAGAAAATTAAATGGCCTATCAAGATTCATGCACTCTGCAAAATTTTGTGATAACCAATAGAAGCTTTTACTATCCTAATTTTTTAAAAAAAAAAAAAATCATACTAGCTAAGATTACTCAAATATTTAACTCAAAGGGTAACACTTATTAAACAAATGATAAATGCTACTAAACTTACCTATATGAATTTTATTATAGAAGTTAAAATAATTTATTATTTAACAAAATATGCTATATTTTAAAATAATAATACTAAATTAGTTTGAGAAAAAGAAATTTTCTAATAATCCATACATAAGTGCACTCCCACTAAATGGTCATTGACAATCAAGAAAATAATACATAACAATATTGATAAAAACATATATATTTTCTACACTCATTTGTTTTTTTTTTTTAATTACTTTTTTCATAAAAAAATTATTATGCAATCTAATCTAAGAATCTAACAAATTATTCGAGTAATATTAAAAGAGCCAACAAAAAAATCTAATGAGTTGTGGACAGAATGTAAGGTCCATTTTATAAATATTCTTTTTAAAAGTTTGAGATTAAAATAATTTTTTTCCCTCTTTAACCAGCTCATTACCTTCTTTAATTCCTTCACCATTTCGGAAATTTGGGGGACCGAAAAGCAAAATAGCAGGCCCCCCTTTACTTTACACCAACCAACTTGTGACAATTATATATTAATCGGGTGAAAAATGAAAAAAACAAAAACAATTATTTCGTAGGGCCACCCATTTACTACCTCAGAGAGCAAATTTCGGAGCGAGATGAGAGGGCTTCGCTGTTCAAACCAATTATAAAATCCACCGAGCTTAAATCTGTTCCTCCTCCCCTCCCTTCCCACCATCGTCGTCTTCTTCATCTCGAGTTCCTTCTCCTCTTCTTCTCTCTCTTTGTCCCTTAGTTCTTTTTCTCGGAGGTGTTGAAGAATTCGAGGAGGAGAGAGAATGGGGGGTTGCGCCACCAAGCCCAATGTACTGAAGGAGGAGGGCGAAGCTCCTAAGCCCGTCGAGGATGTTGCCGCTGCCGCCGCCGTCGATGATACGTCGAAGGATGTGTCCGCCGGAGAGGAGAATTTGGAGGAGGTCGCGGATGGCCGTAAATCGCTTGGCAATTTCTTCAGCGAGAAAGAGGTGATTTTGTTTGGAGCATTCTAATTTATTGGGATGATTTTTATCAAAATTTATTTGTCTTGAAAAAGAAGAAAATTGATCTAGTGTAATTCGAAACGAATCTCATCTCCATCAAATTTTTTTTGGGATATTTAGGTCAATTAAGACAAACTCGCACACACATCACATAGTAAGACTCACACCCAAAATTTCTTAGCTGGTAGTCAAATCTCCCAACCAACAATAGATCAAGATGAGCTGTGTATGATGAAGAATGTAATAGTGGAATTCATATATATCAGATTGCTTTCATCCAATGGTTTGTTGAGAGCAGCCTTTTCCCTTTTTGTTTGGATTTTTGATCTAATTAAGATAAATTCTCACACATATCATATATGTAAGTTTTGAACCCAAGACCTTTTAGGCTTTTTTTTGGAACCATTTTCTAACTGCTTTAAGAAGCAATCAGGTTTTTAATACAAAATTTTAAATTTTTGTACTAAAAAGCTGCTTTAAGAAGCAATCAGAACGTTGTCCCAAACGAAACCTTAATTGATAGCAAAAACTTATAATGAACAGATCCAGATGAGTTGTGTATTAGTTGGTAGCCAAAGCTCGCTTTCAAAAGAGATGAATTATTTGATGAGAAAATATTAATTTGAATTTTATGTTAAATCTTGTCAAATAATTTTGTTAGGTATGTAAATCTCCCTTAATTAAATCTCATTTTTTGGTTTTGCAAAACCTAAGGAGAATTCTTAAGTTAAGCCTGATTATTGGGTTTAAGCTAAAAGCAATAGTTAAAAAAAATATATTTGGGTGAATCTCACTCATATAATTTAGCTTTTACATTGAAAATAAATTTGATGATTGATCTATCAGACTTAATTTATATTCCTCCATTTGAAATCCTTAACATATTGTTTTAAGTAAATGATTCAATTGATGTCTAAAATTTCATTAAATTTGTGTTTTTCATAGATCTTTTGTCATCTTTTATTATATTAATATAAAAGAACAAAAACATAAAAGAAGATCAGTGCATAAAAATATAGAATTTTATATAGTTTTATCCCATTGATGATTACTTCATGTTGTTGTCACTGCAAATTTCACCATAATTTGGTTTTGAAGAATTACAAACTTAATTATTATGACACATCATAAAGATAACACTTATAACTCAAAATATATATGTATATTTTTTAAAATTTAATACACATATATGAGTACATAAGTATACATTATAATTCAAACCGGCTTATATATGTTTGATCTGATGCCCAATCAAAATAGAAATAGCCACAAAGAAAGTGATTTCAAGGCATATGAAAACATCAATTTAGGCTTCATTTGAGACAGTTTTATTACTACTTCTTAAACTAATTTTTTATTACAAAATTAAAATTTTATGTTAAAAAATTGCTTTAAGAAACAATAAGAAAGTCATGCCAAACAAAAACTTAGGCTTCATTTGGGACGGCTTTTTTATTGCTTTTTAAAACAGCTTTCTAGTCTAAGGCTTCGTTTGGGACAACTTTCTTCATTCTTTCTAAAGAAACTTTTTAGTATAAAAATTTTGTATTAAAAAACTGCTTTAAAAATCCATAAAAAATTATCCCAAATAAAACCTTAATCTCATGCAATTATACAAGATAGCTGAAGCTGGCCATCACTCTCAAAAACTTTGCACTGAAAATAGACTTACATAATTGATTGATGTCCTTTGCTAATTACTATTAAGCTTTTACTGTGCTGATTTGATGTCCTTCACTTTGATTCCTTAAAGGCCGAAGAGAACACTGTAACCGTTAGCGGTGAGAAGCCTGCGGAAGAGAAGGAAGATGCCAAGCCGGAGCAGCAGGAAGAGAAGAAGGCCACCGAGGCCTCTGAAGTCCAGGCTGATGCTGCTGCTGCTGCTGCTGATGAGGAGAAGCAATAAATAATGAAAGAGCTTGAAAAGGCTCTGTAATATTTGAGCTATGATTAATGATATTTATGAATATATTTTTGTGGGGTTGATTTGATTGCATTTCTTTGAATATCATTCATATATTTATGTGGATTAATTGATTCATTATTTGGACTAATTATTTATTTCTATGGATTAAGAGTTTATTAGTATATGATTAATGTTAAGTTTCAGTGCATTGTTTTTATTTTGGTAGTTTTTAGTTATGAAATAACACAATTGAAAATTAATATTGTTATTCAGCTTTTTTAAGCCATTTAGCTCACATAAAATATTTTCTTAAATAAAATTTTGATTAATTAGAAACTTTATAGAATAATTGTATTTTCAGCTTATATCTAGTTTTAGGCTTTATTTGAAACAGCTTTTTTTCTGTTTTTTAAATCAATTTTTTAGTATAAAAAGTTTTTAAATTAAAAATATTTATACTAAAAACTGCTTTAAAAGACAATAAGAAAATTCTCTCAAACAAAACCTTAATTTCAATAATGAATTTAGCACTTACATGCTTGCCTCCAAACAAATTAGCAATTGATAAATCATTTTGCAAACCTTTCTTCTAACAAATATCGCTAAATGGTTATTTTGATGATACATTGTTACTTCTACCTGTAAATCTTTGTCTTGCTTTTTGTGACCAGGCAGCAAGGTTGAAACCCTCCACTGAATGTTGATTAATCACTTTCGATCAAAGAAATTATTCTGTGTGTACAACGGACGATCCGAAAACCAATCAGAACGCGCCATGTCACCCAGTACACAATAGTACCGAGCACCGGTACCCAAAAAAAAGCGATGTAACGTATTCTGGTTGGTCTTCGAACGCCGTCCGGTATCCGCACAAAATATTTTTTTCTTGGATGATGGGTGCCTAAGCTCTAATTGTGGGTACCAGCTAATTTAAATGATCAAGATCTTGAAAATTATTGCTAAGATTTCATTATTGAATTCCCTCTACATTAAATTTGTGTTTCCACACTCAATTCAGAAGGTATTCAAAGCATGGTATTGCTCACAAACCCTAAATCCAAATAGAAAATCTATTGAGAAAAATGGAAATGTGAAAATGCACAATTTTCAGCCCTTCAGCCTTAAATCTCCAGCCTTCTTGACCTCACCCAATATTCTTTCTGCAAATGATTCCCTATCATCTGCAACCTGCGTCACAAAAGAAGAGCTCTTCGTCGACTTCAAATTCTGCAAACTACCTGTACCAATATTTGAAGGCTTCTTCTGATAGGTATTTCTAGAGCAATCTACCAGGCCATTAATATCTCTGTGTTTCTCCTTTCCATCGCTTTCCCTTCTGAATTGATCCTTTCCTTCCTTGCTACTATCCCACGAGTCCAGAATCTTTAGTAGCAGAGAACTATCTTCCAGGCTTTGTTGGCTGTTTCCTGATCTATCTGAGCGTAAATGAATGTCTTCTTCTTCTGAATCAGAATATTCATCATCAGAGAGAGAAACTGGGCGATACTCCTTGCCATTTTCATTCCTGGGATAACTGGATAAAGGCCCAAGCTCATCCCATGAAGAGTCGTCGAACTGGCTATTTTCCATCAAAGCTTCTTTACCTTTATCATCTTCATCTTTTGAATCTTCCTTGAGCTCCTTAGGTTCAGAATGGAGGATCTCAGAAGGCCGAATGTAAGAGTTTTCTATTCTTATGGAAGCCATTATCTGCAGCAAATTCAGAAGCTTTGGGTAGCCAAGGGTCTGGTAATCCAATATATAGTTGTATTTCCGAACAAATTCAGGTTGGAAATTGCTAATGTTGAAACCAGTGGGATTTTTCTCTAAAAGCTCCTTCAACAACTTGCGGCAATCAGATAGTATTTCATCTCTGCTTGGAGGTCCACTCGTCTTCCCTGAAGCATTATTTGTACCAGTAGAGCAGGCCGCAATGAGGTTTTGAATGTTAGGATATCCGTAAGAAGAACTAAAAAGTTTTGTATTAAACTTGTTCTCGAAAAGCTTTAGAAACTCATCAGGTTCCACGTTTCCAGTGCTACCGAAGGTTTTCTGGAACCAAAACCTTAGTTCTGAAAAATTACATGGAGGTGAAGTTCCATTCTGAGACATTCCCATAGAAACTAAGTTCTGCTCTTGCTTTTCTTGGTCTTGTTGTTTCTGCAAGTTGGACTTAGTTTTACCAGGAAAAAGTGAACTTAATCCATTTGAATGAAATGGCTGGGATGTGACAGATTTCTTCTTTGGAGTAATAACAAGCTTAAAAGGAAATTTATGTGAAGCAGATTCTTCCAACCATTTCTTCTCCCAAAGCAAAATATCACCTAAATGGCAAAGATCCTTATAATCAAGTTCTTTAAGAGACGGGGGACCTTCATTCTGTAGCCTTCGCAGCAACTGCTCCCTGATGAGAAAGGGGGGGAAGGTGAGAAGAAAGGCATATGTTAACAGCTTTCTATGCTTCATAGCATGCTTTTTTAATTCTATCATGAACTAAAGGGGAAAGGTGAGAAGGATGCTCAAATGGCTGATACCTTGAGATGATAATTCTTTACCTAATATCAAACCTCAAACTTCATCATCCAATCTTGATATGAATATCTAAGATAACTCCAAATTTAGGATGCATACCAAACTATGAATGCGCAAGAAAATATTCCTAAATTTTATTACCACAGAAAATGCTTACTGAATACTAACTAAATCATGATAATGTCATAAATAGTCATCAAGACTAAAAGGATCGAAGGAAACTATAGTGTTTTTTGCAGAATCTATTAAGTTATAGTTCAGCATAATCGATAATATAATGAACATCCAACTTAACTGTGAATATAAAAAAAAGCAAGTTAACAGTGTAGAACAACCAATTTGAAGTGAATGATCAAGTACCAAAATAATCAAAGAAAGCTATAATGCCAATATGAAAGAAGACAATTTTCTATACACTTGTCAAAGAAGAAGATGCATGAAATCTAGAAACAAATCTTCAAGACATGGCCAATCAAACTCAAGAGAAATTCAATATAAAATGACTGTAAATACAAGTTTACATACTTTTTTTTATTATAAACCACATAAAGAACATAAATTTAAGTTTTCATATTCGATTTTTCAAGTTCATTATATTTATGTAACTTATAATTTTCTACAATATGAAATGAAAACAAAAATGTTTGAAGACTCTAGAATAACAATTATGATGTAGAACAAGTGATTTACTTGAGCATGTCTGTAAGATTTAATACAAGAACAAAATATTTGATTTCATGGAAACAAGATTGAGGATACTGTTTGAAACCTTGAATATACACTCAAAAATTTATATTTGGAAGTCAATCTGAAAAATGTCCTGTGGTGACTGTATTGCGCAAAGATTCCCCATCTTAACTTTAAATTTTTTAACACTAATAAACTACGAGTGGGATTTGAAAGAAATCAATGTCAGAAGACAACTTCTACATTAGGTTCTTGAGAATCACAGGATTGTTGAAATCAAGACATCTATGATCTTTTAATGCTTCCAAATGCCATCAAAGATAAGCTTATATATAAAGAAACAGAGATATTCTTGCGTGTATACGAGGCTCACAATCCACAGCTTGAGAAAAATTTAGGACAAATATTGTGACAGCGATCAGATCAGTATGAAACAATGAAGTAAATATAAAAGTCTAGTGCAGAAGGAAAAGCTAGTGAGCAGCCTTTATGAACCGTTGATTGCTACTAGGAGTCCTTAGAGGATCAGAGTGGTTCTCAACCATTAAGAAAGAAAAAAAAATTGTTTAAAGAGATTTTTGTATGCCTTACATTAGGATGGGACTATTTTTGCATTGTATCTTTAATATTATGTATAACATGTTATCTCTCAAAGTAATTAGAATATTAAATCATTTAATTAAACTAATAGAGAAATATATCTAACACATTAGATAATATAACTAAACTATTATAATCTAAAATTTAAATTGTACATAGAGATAATATGTGAAACATAAAATTAAGGACAAGTGGCAAAAAATAGCCCCATGCTAATGCAAAATACATCAGTATACACTGATATAATTTTTTTTTCTTAGAAACTATCTTGGAATTATTTGAGTGAGGGCTATTTATAGAAGATATTTCATTTTTTATATATAATATTTTTTATAATTATTTAAAATGAACAATGCATATTACATTCTTTTATTCTCAATATGAATGCTCATATCTTATACTAATTCAACTAACCCATCTTGTAACTAATTCAAGTGATCATCCATATTGTAGATGAAGATTGCTATAAGTTCCGTGATGGAAACAATGCTGGATATAGTTCAAAAACATGAAAAATAAAGCAAAGATAAAGTGATCCAGAGAAAAAAGATAAGGGAAAAAAATGCTACATGCACATAAGCATTACCTGGTTCTAGATTTCAAGATAAGGTGACAACTCTTGGGATCCAATAAAAATGACTCTAGTTCATCCCAGAAGTGAGTTTTTGAGAATAGCTCATGAATTTGATGAACCTTATCACTGGAGTCAGAATGGTCATCTTGCCCATTGGCACCATAAATCAAGAATTTTGACCACCTCACAATCCTCCCAAAAAGACCAACCCTCTGTTCATGTACATAATCGGACTTTTCAGATGGCCAAGTGTCATTATCCTTTGCGACTGATTTCTCTGAACCCAATGAATGTATCTCGGAACTTTCTTTTTCAAATAAAAGATTATTTAGATCCACAGCCTCATCTTTTGGCTTTATTTGCTTAGAATTGTCTGGAATTCGCATACTTGGAGCATTTTTACTAGAGTCCTCATGTCTTGAAGAATCTACTACCAAACTATTATCATCTTTCTTGTGAACAGAACCAACTCGATGTCCAGTCAGCGTCTTCCATAGCTTCTTAAGGAACCCATCTGTAGCTTCAATGCTATCCCTTTGCAGTGAATTATCAGAAGGATCTAAAATGTTCGGTTGAGGAACTGAAGAAACTTTATGAGCTTCTAAATCAACCAAAGGATCATCTACCTTAGACAAAATAGAAGCACTTGAATTAGCATCTAACTTGCTGTCCTTATGCCTTGAAGAAGGCTCAGTTGAAATACTTGCCTTTTCCATCAGTAAATCTCCCTTCCTTGTAAAACCATTGTCCTTGTAAATACCATTTGTATAAACCTCTTTAGTGGACCTTGCCCTAATATCTGTTTGTTCTACTCCTTTTTTGAGAGTGCCAACAACCAGAGGATGTCGATCACCAGACAGAGGTGGTATGAACTTCAACAGGTTCAACGATGCAAGAAAGAGAGAGAACTTCTTGTAACCAAAGAAGTCCTTATCCATAGTTATGTTGTTTCTTTTAAGCTCACTACGAAGCTCGGTAAGACTAATACCTTCTGGATATGAATGTAATATCTGACGAATCGCATTCACCACTACCCTTGGAACTGGCCGAGGCTTGGACTCAGAAATTGATTCCATGGATTCCTCAGGTTGTGAAGTTGTGGGATGGTCAGTATCCGCAAAGGGATCATCTAGTACACCTTTGTAATGGCCATACCAAGAACCATACAACCCATCAGGTGGATGGTTAAAATGCCTGACAGTAACATTTTCTCCCCTAACCAATCCATTCCAGGGCCACATTATAGTTGCAGCACTGCAGAGGACTGCAGAAGCAGTATCTGTGCTAGCAAGCAGAATATTGTAGTTGCTCATCCTTAGCCTATGAAGAATGTTAGCAAAGTCCTTATCACCAGATATCAAGAAGAAATGTGCTGGAGGAGGGTTCTGGTAAACCCAGTAAACAATGTCAGCCATAAAAGATCTGTCAGAACTATTCTTCCCACCTACATGTGAAGGTTCATAAGAAGCTCAAAAGGTAAAATACAACATAATCAAAATACTAAGTTAAGCATTACATGAATCTTTCTGCTCTTGCACAAACTGAAGAGTAATCAAGCAAATAGAAAATAACATGAAAATATTAATTTATGATGATAATTAAGTAATTAGGCCTTTGTTGACTGAAAAGCAAACTTGCAAATTTATGCCTTACAGAAAGAATTCCAGATAAACTATAAATGCCTCCAGATTTTAAACATTTAGGGGCTGTTTAGTAGCACCCAGGATTTGATTTAAGTAGGATTTCATAAATCCGCTAAATCTGGATTTCGAAAATCCTGAGGGGCCTAAATCCTGAAAACTGTTTGGTAACATTCATGATAAATCCTATTAAATTTCGTGTGACTGTTAGGCTCTAGAACGGATTTAACGAGCGGATTCTTCCTCTCCAGCCAACGGATTACGTAAATCCAGCAAAAAGCAGGATTTCGGAAATCCAGGATTTAGCACAAAAAGGCGGAATTTTCCGTCTACTGCGACTTTCATTTGCCGTGAGATTTTGTTTTGCATTTTAGACCGTTTGGCTGGATTTCGCTCAAATCCGGCCTAAATCCTGCTACCAAACAACCCCTTAGATTTTATGTATAAAGGGCTCTCTTGCAGACTTCATCTAAATTTATTCTAAAATCATTCAAATTATTGCTGAGGATAGTTCCAAATTCTGAGAAATATAAGACCTTCTTCATATCTAAATAACAATATCACGAAAGGTAACTGAAGGCTATTTCGTTGAAAAGAATCATGAGCCTGCTTTTCTTCAACTTATCAAACACGGAGATTTATTTACCCTAATGCATTTAAGTCAATCTAAGCTCATGAGAGTCCCAAAAGAAGAAAACATTAGATGCAAGCAAGCTCGTAACAGGTAAATTTACTGAAAATAATTAAGAAACGCAGCGAGAAGTAGTAACCTACTACAAGGAACATGGGAAAGACAGACGCCAGTGGAGGTGAGCGCTTCCTGAGTTGCACGCGAGAGCTGGGCCACGTCCCCGAATGCTGTGATGGTAACCGGGCCCTTGATGCCGCATGATCTAATAGCCCAGGTGATCCGATTGGACACACGGTGAACGTTCACGCCTACAGGAATGCTGCAGTTCTCGAAATCCCACCAAACCGTGATCTTCACATTCCTATTCTCGTCATCGTAGTTCCTCCGTGACAAAGATGACGAGCTGAAAGAAGAAGGAGAAGATGAGGAAAGTGCGGAACTTCCGTCGCTCCGCCGCCTATAGACATCGTCGCCAGCGGTTGAGTGGAGGAGGAGGAGATGAGAGCAGGGATAGGTTGGGTGAAGGTGAGAGAAGGCAGAGTGTGAGAGCTTGAAGATAAGGGTTGGTGAAACAATGCCTTTCATAACGGGACGAGAATGGATTCTACGAATTTGGTCATGAAAAGAAAAGTCCGCGGCCGTGAACGCCTCCGCCGGTCGTAGTCGGAAGACTGACGGAAGAAGCCGGACGAAAAATGTTAAATAGAAGAGGGCTTTAAACCCTACCCGTGCAGAGCTAAAACCCTCCAGCCAGCACGTGTTTACCAGGTGATCATTCAGATTTAATAATTTTTTTTTTTTTGGGAAAATTTGAGGCCTAAGCTCAATTCATTAATAAATGAAGAAATAACAAAAAAGGATCTGCAATCACCACAAGCCGGTGGCAGACCTCAAAACCATATCAGCACTAAAAAAAGAGCTGCTTAATAAAGGAAAACTAATGCAAAGAGGAAAAATGATAAAAATGGAAGGACTTAGAATTGCAATTCTCGAATCGATCTTCTACGCGTCAAAATTCATCCAAAAGGATGTGTTGGTCCCCTGGTTGCCAAAAGACCTTCCAAGGGGATGTTTAAAGGATTGCGTACATCATCGTCCTTCAAAATAGAAAAATCTAGTTGCCCAAAAGGACCTTCCAGAATTTGCCCGAGAAGTAGCAGGGTCGAGAACCAATCCAGCTTCCACCGAAACAGAAAGGTGGACAGTGCAGATAACCAAAGTAGATTTATGTCCATTTGTCAGTTTTTTGAAGAACAGCCCTTTTGATCTTGGCAGAAATGGTAGATAGACAATCGAAAGAATTGCCAAACAGCCTGTCATTCCGGGCTTTCCACAGGAAATAAACAGCAGCACAAAGCAACATGAAGCAACGGTTTTTACTGCTCTTGTCTAAGCCCCAATCATCAATACAGTGAAAAACTTGAGCAAGATTCGGCCTTAAAAGCATACAACTCATGTAGGGAAATAGTTTAAGGAGCAGATTGAATGTAAAATCACATTCAAAAATTAGATGCGAATGATTCTCCTCAGAATTGTTGCAAAAAGTGCAAATGGGATTAACAGTAAGCCCCCTAAGAGCCAAATTATCAGCAGTTTTAAGCCCATTTTTAAAAACCATCCAGGTGCAAAGGGAAAAACGTAAAGCATAGTGCTTATGCCATACCAATTTATGCCAAGGAATCACCTGAATGTCTGAAAAGAAGCAGTTTGGAAGGTTTTAAAACCAGGTTTGGTTTTATTGGTCTAGTGGCAGTCCCCCGCAATACCAGAGATAGGCACCTTTTTAATAATTTCCACTATGTGTGACGGTAATGTTTGAGGGAGAAGCCAAATCCCATTCTTCAAAACAGAATTCATTGCTAAATTATAGGGATAGATCAGATGATCCAAATTTTCCAATTTAAGTCTGTCAGCAATCGAGGAACCAAAACACCAGGGTTCCCAAAAAAAGGTAAGAGAGCAATTAACATTGAGGCTAAAATGAAAGGAATCCGGCAAATTAGCAGCCACCCCACAAAGGAAATTCCAGTAAACTCCTTTCTTCTTAATTCCAGAATTTCAAAAGGATATATACTTAGCCTTCCACCACTTAAAAAGATAGCTTTTAGAATTGTAAAACCTCCAAATTAGAGAACAATCAAAACCGTAGTAAAGTGATTCAATGGTAGGAAGGCCTAACCCACCACAATGTTTAGGCAGGCAAGTATTCTTCCAAGATATGACATGAAGTTTCTTTTTATGAATGTCCCCATGATATAAAAATTTAGAACACATGCTATTAATCACCTTACTACATCCTTTAGGGATGATTGTGCTTCTAATCCAATACGCCAAAATGTTGAAAATAGTATGCTTAAGGTATTGAAATCTACCAGCCAAGGATAAATTTCTTGCTTTCCATCCATCTAAAGAGACTTGAATTTTCTGAATAAGGGGCTGAAAATCAGATTTTTTAAGTCTCTTACTGAAGATGGGAATGCCCAGATATTTGAAGGGAGAGTGGACTAAAGGGATGTTCAAAGTTTCAGAAATAGCCTCTTCATTGTGCACATTGTTAGACATTAAAAGAGTGCTCTTGGAGGGATTGACATGAAGACCAGAGATAGCAGCAAAGTCCTCAAGAATGTTATTAAGAGAGAGGGCATTATGAATAGAAGCTCTGCCAAAGACAAGAAAATCGTCGGCGTAAAGTAGATGAGAAATGGAGACATTACCAGAATTAATACCATGGAAAGAATGATTAGAAGAAGCCTCTTCAAACAAATCCGAGAGACTATCCATGGCAAAGCAGAAGAGGTAAGGAGACAATGGACAGCCTTGTCTCAAACCAGAAGTAGAGTTGAAGAACCCTTCAAGAGCACCATTGATAGCAACCGAGAAATGGATATCGTAAATACATCCCTTGATCCAAGAAACAAAGAGGGGAGGAAAGCCCTTAGCAATCATTCGATTAATGATAAAATCCCTTGAGATAGTGTCAAATGCTTTGTGTATGTCGTACTTAGCACAAAACATTTTCTATTTATCTTTAACATTGAATTCCAAGAGAATGTCTGAAGCAAGCAAAACATTATCCGTTATAATCCTTTCATGAATAAAACCAGCTTGGCTAGGATGGATGATGTAAGGCATAACCTCTCTCAATCTGTTAGCAAGAATTTTGGCTATAATCTTGTAAAACGTGTTGCAAAGGGAGATAGGCCTATAGTCTGAAATGTTGTTGGCATGAGGCTTCTTAGGAATTAGCACAATGGTCGTAGCCTTGGCTTGCTTAGGAAGAGTTCCCGTATTAAAGAAGAACCAAATAGCTTCACACAGTTGCCTGCCAATGATATTCCAAGAAGACTTATAAAATTCAAAAGTATAACCATCTGGGCCCGGAGCAGAATGATTGGGGGAGGAAAATATGACATTCTTGATTTCATCCACAGATATGGGGCCAACCAGTTGCGGAATAAGGGTAGTGGGAAGTTTATAAAGAGTTGGAGCATTGCGTCCAATGTTAGAGGTAGGTGAAGGGGTGTTAAAAAGCTTTTGAAAATGTTGGATGATAGCAAGAGAAATGTCATTGTGATTGTTGAGAATACCATTATCAGTGGAAATGGCTTTAATAAAGTTAAAGTTATGCCTCACATTGATTTTGGAGTAGAGAAATTTGAGATCATCTTCCCCACAAGTCATCCATTTTGCTTTAGCCCGTTGGATAGTCCAATCGGCCCACTCCGCATTTCTATCAGCAAGCTTTTGGTTTATAAGCTTTAAAGCCAGATTGAGTTCAGGATCCAGGGGAGAGACTTGAAGCTGGGTAAAAATGGTGTTTTGTTTTTGGTTAAGCTCATTGATATCTCTATTCAATGTCGTGGATGAGGCCCAACTCTTAGATTTGATCTTAAGCTTCAAGGTCTTGAGCTTATGATAGAAAGAGTGAATAGGGGCTGCTGTGAAACTTCTGAGAAAAAATGGAGATGAGCTCATCCCAAAATTTCGGTTTGGACACCCAATAGTTTTTGAACTTAAAATGATGTTTCAGATTAGTTTTAACACCCTGCTGCACCACAATAGGAGAGTGGTCCGAAATATAAGGATCATCCATAATATAAAAAGAATTAGGGTATTTATCCAGTCAGGCATCATTAACCAACATCCTATCAAGCTTGATATGGATGGGGTTATCAGTTCTCTGATTAAACCAAGTGAAAAAGTGTCCCACAGAAGAAAGCTCATGGGCCCCAATGTCATAAATAAGATTTTGAAAATCTAAGAGCTTATTGTCCTGGAGAACTGATCCTCCGGCTTTTTCATGATTAAATCTACAGCAGTTAAAGTCGCCTAGGATGATCCAACGTAAAGAAATTGAGCTAGTAATTTCAGTTAGATCATTCCAGAGAGTTCTCCTATCCTCCAGAATGTTAGAGGCATAAACCACAAAAATGTAAAATTGTTCTTTGCTGTTCCTAGTCACCAAACCATGCACCAGCTGACTAGAAGTAAAAATATGCTTAAAACTGACAGTGTTAGTATTCCATTTAAGCCAAATTCTGCCCGGAGAAGCATAGGCAAAGTTATCATAGGAACCCTCCAAGGGGAAGATGCGGTGGTTAGAAAGGAACCAACTATTAGAAATGTTGGTAGGAGAGATTCTGGTTTCCAGAATGAACAACATGTCAAGGTTAAATTTATTGACCAATTGTTTGCAACACAAGGTTTTGTCTGGGCTATTGAACCCACGGGTATTCCAGGCAGCCATAGAAGGAAGACTGGTCATTGGGATTTTGAGGTTGAGGAGGTATCCTTTTTTGCTGTTTTGGATCTAGTGGTTTTTGTGTTAACAGAGAAGGCCGTGTTTTTCTTTTCTTTCCCCATACTGGAACTGCCAGCCGAACCTCCACCCGCATCAATCGGGTGATCATGAGCAGGGGAAGGGAAGGTATCACGGTTGAGGGTCAGGGTAGAGGTGTGGTCATTTTGGTCAGACAAAATGACAAATTTGTTAGTAATGGGAATATGTGGTGACTTATGGGGAACAATATCATCTAAAATAGATACTGGATTAAGTTTGGAAATTGTGGATATAGGAGGAGATTCAGTTGTTGGGTTATTGAGGTTAGGGACCAGAGCTTGGGAAGAAGAAGTTGAAGTAAAAGGCAAGACAGTAGGGGCCACAGGTTGTTCAATAGGGTTGGGTAAAGGGTTTGCAGGGGGTTTGGGAATATTAAGTCTAGGAGCTGGATTAGGGTTACGTGGTTTGCGGCTTGAGCTTCTACCACGAGTTTTTGGAGGTTCGGCCTGAGGTGGTTGTGGATTAGGGTTTTTTGGACATGCATTGGAGGCATGCATAATAGAATTGCAGAAAGAGCAGTGGGTTGGCTTCTAGTCATATAGAACAGAGAGAGGGAAGACTTTTCCATCAACGGTATAATAAATCTCATCAGGGAGGGGAGAGTTACTGCAAACCTGGACGCACACCCTGGCAAAGGTGAGCCTAGTCTTGGCTGCCGTGAGCGCATTGACCGCCAGTGGAATACCAACACAGCTTGCGATCTTGGAGATCCCCTCCGGCGTCCAACAGGAAAAGGGAAAGTTTTTAATTTTGATCCAGAGAGGTATTGACGGGAACTCTTCACGGACTGGAACAAACTCCGGCATCCACTTTTGCAAGATGAAAGGCTTGCCAAAAAAGAACCATGGTCCACCCGTCCAGGCCATATCATAGTCCTCCCTGTTGTTGAACTTAAGAAGGAAA